TTATTTAACTAATCATGACTTCTCCAGGTAGCCTTGTGTATGTCATTACCTGTGAGGCCATCAGACACACCAGGGAGGGATATTTAAAACACTGGATTAATTTTATATAACAACTACCGATATTGTAAACATTTATTTCATATATGCTAAAAATCCTTACCACTTCCACTATTAATTATTGTTATAAGAATCAAAAAATAGAGAATTTGTATAACCAGTAGGAGTAAAATATATATACGTATTTATATCAAGTATCTAGAAATGACCTGAAGTGATGTTTCTCAGTTATTAACATATTGATCTTATCTTCCGTTGTTTTTTTTATTGTTTTCATTTTTTGGGGGTAGGGGAGGGAAGATAGGGGGTAGGAGGGGAGGAAGGTAGGGGAGGGGAGGAAGGAGGAGGGGGGGTTATTGTAGAAAATATTACTGGCTGAACGACTTTTTTTTGAGACACTTGATCAATTGAAGTATTTAATTAAACACATTTAGATTATTTATTACAATTACTCGAAGATCGCCGTCAAGGATCACCGTTATCTCCCCCTGCCAAAGCTCACACTTCACCCCCCTCAAGGATCACCCTCTACCCCTCCCTCTACTCTCATCCTGGGTGTTCCTGAGCCTCCCCCTCACACCTCGCGGGCGGAAGCAAAGTGTCATCGCGATGGACTCCACGGCATCACTGTGACAAGGTTGACGGTGGTGGTGTGGCGGAGGTCCCCCAGTGTGACGCCTCAGGACCCTCTCTGCCACACTTCCGCGTCTGCCGTCCATCTCCTCCTGTAGTAAGTCTTCCCTTCCTCCTCTCCCGGTCATTCATCATCCCCCTGTCGCACCTGTACAGCCTTTTTCCTCTACCTATACTTATGAAACTTAAAACAAAAATTGCGTCTCCCTATCATTTCCCATCTTAGGTAATCTCTTTCACACACACACACACATTACTACACACACACTACTACACTAATACTACAATACCACACACACACACACACACACACACATACACACACACACATGGCCAGGTTAAGGAAAAACACCTCCAGATCTCCTACCATCACCCTCTCCAGTGAGTGTACTTTCTCAGCTTTACCTGCCCACTCTGACTACACCTCTCGCTCCGTCCCATCAACTAATACTACCTCTCTCTCTCTCTCTCTCTCTCTCTCTCTCTCTCATCTTTCTCCTCCTCTTCTCCTTCTTCACTTCTCCTCGTCTTACTCTTGCATCTTTCCTCTCTCTCCCCCACCTCCCTTCCCCCTCTTCCTATCACCTCCCTCCATCTCTCCCTTCCTCTTCCTCTCAGCCTCCGTCACCCGGGTGGTCTGAGGGGAAGTGTGACCGGCAGTTAGGGTGTCGGGGTCGTTAGGGGTCGAGGGTAGTTGTTGGCAGCCCTGTGACGTGAGGGGAGAGAGAGGGGAGTGAGGGGAGGAAGAGGGGGGGAGTGAGGGGAGGAATATGGAGTGAGAGGGGGAGAAAAAGACGGAGTAAGAGAGAGAGAGAGAGAGAGAGAGAGAGAGAGGCGTTAGTACCTCTTTTATTCTCCATCAGATTTTAATTGACGCTGATTCCAAACTTTTCTAAAACTGTAGAAATTTTTGAGATGTCAAGTAAATTTTTTTCTTTATTTCTTCAACAACTTTATAAGGATATCATATTCAGCTTTGATGCCTTGTGTTGTATTTCTATCACTTGATGTTATTAATTTCCTTTTTAAATACTACTATAAATAGACTATATGATCTGATATATATATATATGATCTTCAATAATGATTAAGACGAGAGTATAATTTTCAGAGGAATAATGGACACGCACTATCTCCAGCAACACACAAGACAACACCTAACCTAACCTAACCTAACCTAACCTAACCTAACCTAATCTAACCTAACCTAACCTCGAGCGAGACACAACGTAAAAACCAATTTCGTCTACCCTTCCACACTTAACCACGGTGAATTTTCTAAACATAACAACAAAGTCATTTATAAACACTAAACCAAAAAAGTTAAGAGACAATAAACCATAATTTATTTGTGACCTATTTTCTTAAATTGAGTTTAAGTATTCATATAAACCTCCTGAAGCAACACTGCAATACAATCACCACTTTGCCAAAACATTCACTTCCTTATCAACACTTTTCACCTACACATTGCAACACATTAATCCTATTATACACCTGCCATTATGAGTGCTGTTATTTATACTATAATTACCATGTGATTTAAACAGCTAATCAATTTACTATCACACTCTGGTGGTGGTGGTGGTATAAGGCTGCAAGTTTTATGATGACGTGGAAATGCTGCAGCCGTGATTACCCATATACGCTGTTAACGATGGCACTGATAACTCTATTGTCACAGCGGATCTTTATGGTATTATAATGGAAACAATTTATCAAGGGGGGGTATTATTGCTCTCATTATTATTAAAGTTATCATAGACTGAATCATTTTTATCGTGTATGATTATCAGTTTATTATACAGCATATACAACGTTGGTGTTATTAATGTTGGTTGTATTATCAGGTATGTTGTGTTGATGATAATGATGATATTGTATGTTGTTGTATTATTTTGTATGTTTCGTTAATTTTCACCTGTATATGATTTTTTTTGGTTATTTCGATATTTTAAATATTATAATCATTCATAAATTCTGTAATTAAGTAACTAAAAATGATATCGCCGGTGATGGGTGTACTGATAACACTGATAATGACTGATACTAGGTTACTGGATGATAATATTCAATAAATTATAACATACGTTCATCCACCCTCCAAAATAGATCGTCAGTATATTTTATCTTTTCTCTCGTCTCCAGTTTATTAATATTTTTTTGTTAGTTTTAGATTCTTGTTTACCAAAAGTTTATCGTTCAACTTTATTGATTATTATTGTCAGTCCTCCATCCTATCCATGAACTCCGAGACTCGTGAACCTGTGAATCCGAGACATCACACACATACAGGTAGATGGGAGCACTGTGTGATGTCTCGGATTCACAGGTTCACGAGTCGGATTCACAGGTTCACGAGTCTCGGAGTTCATGGATAGGATGGAGGACTGACAATAATAATCAATAAAGTTGAACGATAAACTTTTGGTAAACAAGAATCTAAAACTAACAAAAAAAATATCAATAAACTGGAGACGAGAGAAAAGATAAAAACAATTACGCATCTTAAAAATAATATAAAAATAAGAAGAAAAAAAATTCACAGACGTAACATTAAAAATAAAGTGTAAATAGACGAAATTTACTAATCATCAACATACAACACAATAAAAAAGTTACGATTAAGGTAAATTGTAAAATAATATTTACTATTTAGGTAAGTTTCAACATGTAACACCAATATACACACAATGAAAACACAATCCGACAGTCAAATGAGAGACTACAATGAAAACACAATCCGACAATCAAATGAGAAACTATTGAATTAAGAGTTGTTGGCTTGTTGTTGTTTTCACCCCCACTAATCCTGCTGCCTCGGAGGTGACAACATCTGGCCGGTTAGTGCTACACGCCACTACCTTGAAAATCATTGCGGGAGAGAGTGATGGGTCGGCCTCCTGGATTGAGTGTTGACGGCCGGCAGGAGAGTGAAGCGTTAGTTGATGTACTGTACAGGTGTTCATAGATCCTGTGTTGTGAGAGACGTTAACTACTATAGATCTTGTGTTGTAAGAGACGTCAACTGCTTCCTCGTGTTAAAAATTCCACCTCCAAGTTCCTAATTCACACGAGAGACTGACGATAGTGAAACACCTGAGCTGCCTACAGGTACTGGAACTCATTTATAAGGTAAGATATACGACTCTTGATTCCTTTGGTGTTGTCAAAACGTTTAGGCTTATTCACGTAAATATTCTGGAAAATCTTACTAAACATCAGAGGAAGGTTAGGGATGCAGACGACACACACACACACGCACACCACAACAACAACAAACCTCTCGGACCAAACAACATTTCCCTCCCTCCCTCCCTCATCCCTCCCCCCTCACCCGCTCCCTCACCTCCACACACCCTTACCCTCACAACACCTCATCTCCCTCACCCCTGTCCACTACCACCAACAAGCTACTATCCACACACACACACACACACCGATAAAACACAAATCACCAGGAACATTACGCGGTGGTCCTGCAACACAAACAGGAAATGGACGGCGCCGGGAATCACCCAGTTGGAGACGGAAACGACAATGCAATGAGAGAAATCCTGAGGTGGTTGGTGGCTTGTGTTAAGAGAGGTATATACAGGTACTTACTGCAGGTAGAGTTGTAGATGTAATGAATTTAAGGTGTGGTAGTGGTGGTGGTAGTAGTGGTTAGAATGGTGGTGGCTGTGATGGTTGTGGTGATTATGGTAATTGTTGTGGGAGGAATGGTTATGGTTGTGTTGAGGTGGTGGTGGTGGTGGTGGTGGAAATGGTTAGGTTAGGTTAGGTTAGGTTAGGTTGGTGATAGGTTAGGTTAGGTTAGGTTGGTGATAGGTTAGGTTAGGTTAGGTTGGTGATAGGTTAGGTTTGGTTAGGTTGGTGATAGGTTAGAAGAAGAAGTTAGGAAGAAGCAGGAGCAGGTTAGTTAGGGTTAGGGTTGGGTGACAGGTTGAAGTTAAGCGGCATAAGATACATATTCAATAAATATAGAGAGGGTAAAAACGAACAACATTGTAAATAAGCATCTGTGTGTGTGTGTGTGTGTGTGTGTGTGTCTGTCTGTCTGTCTGTTCAGGTGTCTGTCTGTCTGTGTGTGTGTGTATCTGTCTGTATGTGTGTGTAAAAGCTATCTGTTCTGTCTGTGTGTGTGTGTGTGTGTTTATCTGCCCTGTCTGTGTGTGTGTGTGTGTGTATCTGTCTCTGTCTGTGTGTGTGTGTGTGTTTATCTGTCTCTGTCTGTGTGTGTGTGTGTGTACCTCCGCTCTCTGTCTGTGTGTGTGTGTGTGTGTGTGTGTCTGTGTGTGCTGACTCACCTCAAAGTCAGAGCGAGACGAGTCCTTAAACCTGGCAAACGGGTTACTGTCTATCTTGGAGCTGTGGATCTGTGGGGAGATGAGAGACGTGAGGGAAGTGAGAGACATGAGGGAAGTGAGAGACGTGAGGGAAGTGAGAGACGTGAGGGAAGTGAGAGACGTGAGAGAAGTGAGAGACGTGAGGGAAGTGAGAGACGTGAGAGAAGTGAGATACTAGAGATAGTGAAGAAAGGGGAAAGCTAAGATAGTGAGAGAAATAAGAACAGAATAATACTGTAAATAAAGTAATACAATAACCAATATAATGATGGTACACAAGAGTATAATAGATTAATGGAGCTTCACACTTATAAGAAACCTAGAAGGAATGATAGTTGGATTAAAGACCCAGTGTTCATTAGTCTGGTTAAGGATAGTATAAACACACCTGGACATACACACTTACAAAACGACACATTAAATAAAACTTATAAGAACGATATAAACCCCCCAAAAAACACATACCAGGTAAATAAACCAAAAGAAGCAGCATTAAGAAAATAAAAACTACATCTCAGGCTGGTTTATAGAACATCTTTCCAGCCTAAAACAGTCTGGAGAATCTTAGGTGATTTCTATAACATCGTTGGAGGTTAAAAACACTCGGCGGACCATAAATATAATCAGCTAATGTGGCGGTATTCGTAGTAAAACCCTGCAGTATGTCCTCTGGGTTTTGACACCGCAGCTGAAAGAAATACTTAAAATGTTTAACTGGCGGCCAGAGACCTCCCAAGGGCTCCCAAATCGTCTTCGTCCCCTGTCATTCAATCATCCTTATCTTATCTGAGGCATGATTGGTGGAAGGATCCGGCCTCTTCCATGTCTCCGTCGCATATCAGCCAATCAAGTCGCCGCTTTCATATCTCAACCGGGCGTGAAAACCAATAAGGTGAGCGCTTTCATCAACTATTCAGCGGGCGTTCGATGCGAGCTCACCAGGGATTGGTTGATATGATAAGCGGATGAGGGGGAAGACCAGCGGGAGGGGGGAAGACCAGCGGGGAGGTGCCGCGTACGATAACTTTCTTTTATGAGTTTAGAAATCCCAAGTTAAGGTATATTTATTTATGCTTCAGATAGTTTGACCTTTTAGGACATACCATTTGTGTCGTACTTCTTATTCTGAGTCTTGTTTGTGAATGTGTGTTTTTTTTTTTTTAAGTCATTTTAATATGTAATGAAATTGAACGAGTAGTCAAGCATCTGGCAAGGGCTATAATACTATTCAAATTATCGTATACAGAGTTACAAACATCTTTCATCTTTAACGATACTCACTTCTGCTCAGAAAACCAAAGACCACAAGCAGTAGTATTCGCTGCCGTATACAACCCGTGGCTGCAGGTACTACTTGGCAGTCCAGACAGAAATATTGATGACATTGCCTTCATGGGAATTGGGAAGTGGGGGCAAGAACAGCATATCCCTCACCTCTCCTTAAGGCTTAACCTCACATGTCTTAACTAGAGGTTCAACCACCTTACGTGCTGAGGAGGGCAGCGGCTACCTCATTTTAACACCTGTAATATTGTGGTGGTGTGGAGCAGCATCTTCTCCCCTTCCTCCCATCTCCTCCTCCCTCCTCCTCCCCTTCCCTCCTCTCTCCTCCTTCTCTTACCTTCTCTGTGTTTTAACTTCGCCAAATTCTCACGTTAGGTTTAATTATTTTATTTTTAAATTTTGTCTATCAAGCATTCTTTCATAGTCTCAGAAGTCTCCCAAGTGGTGCTGTAGAAACACACACACACACACACACACACACACACACACACACACACACAGAATAAATTAAAGAATATACAAATAATGGTAATGACGTTATACTGCATCACTTACGCTTCAACAACTAAAATCAAGGTGAATCACTAAGGACTTTCTGTACTGCGTAACATTGGTTTGTGAAAATATAAAAAAAAATCGCACTTAAGAGTTTTAAATTATACACAAGAGCAGTAAGTTAAAAATTTCCCGTCATCGCGTTGGTTCCCGGCCGGAGCTAAGTGACCTGTTGTAAGTAAAGCGAGAATGAAGTCTTGGTGAAGGGATAATGAAAGACCCAGAAAAACACAGACGTCATAAAGATCTTCCTTGTTGACAAATACTACCGGTGGGCTTCTTATTGTCTCACACGACACAAAAGCTGAAATTGAGAGTTAAAAATAAAAAGGAAATATATCTCACGCCGTCTGCACGTTGGGGCAATAAGTTACCTCAGTCATATACAGATACGGTGTTGATTGTCACGCGGGGCACCAAACGAGAGGTGATATTTGGCACGCTATTGTTTTCCTCCCAAGAGAATGCCGTTATCACAGTCAAGATCATTATGGTAGTTAAAAACATGGCTTAGAAAATAACAAGGACAGGTAGTAAGACATCAACACGAACAATCACCTCTTTGGTCTTAATAAAAAAATAATAATAATGATAACTTTAGGCAAGAACCTGACAGAAATGTGAATGTGTTGAAAATTTTCCGCAAAACTCGATTTTTTTTTTTGGTTAAACTGTGTGTGTGTGTGTGTGTGTGTGTGTGTGGTGGAGAGAAGGGGCTATGGGTAGGACTTGTTATGGGGGCAATGAAAAGATAGTTAAGTTCGTAAGCAAATAAGCAAAATATGACTCGGGAAATTCAGTAAAAAAAAAAATGATGGTTGTTGATAGGTTAATAGTTAATGGTTTGTGGGTAGTTAGGCAGTTGAGCAATGGATGTAGATAGAGCTCGTAGGTAACTCGTAGAGAGAAGGTTGACCATGGATGAGAAGGGGTGGTTGTAGCAGCTGCAGTTAAGGAAGAAGTAGGTTAGGTTAGGCTAGGGGAGTCGAGGAGGAGGTGTTGGGGGAGTCGAGGAGGAGGTGGTGGGGAGTCGAGGAGGTGGTGTTGGGGAGTCGATGAGGAGGTGTTGGAGGAGGAGGTGTGTTAGATGATGAGGTGGTGTTGGGAAGCCGATGAGGTGTTGGGGGAATCGAGGAGGTGGCGTTGGGGGGAGTCGAGGAGGTGGTGATGTTGAACACTTAGATCTCTCATATAATTTACCTAATCAAGTTATACACCTGAGTCATTACACCCGATACGATAAAACAATAAACCTTTAATAGATTAAGTTACTCTAAAAGAAAAGAAAAAAATCCAGTAGTTCTTCATCTTCATTAAAACATTCCTAATATACTAACCTCAAACTATCAAAAAACCAATTAATCCTCGTATCTACATATTTTTTCATTACTTAAGATAAAAATTCAAAGCGATACTTTCAGCCACTTAGCAGTTGAATTACACGTAAACACCAGTAGTTACATTCATTACCAAACGTTCTACGCTAATTTACTAACCCTCACTATATGAACACTTCACCAAGACATCAAGTAAAAAACAGACCGACAAATTAATCATCATTCTAAGAGGCAACAATGACCCACTAAAGCTCTACTCAATTGCCACCTTTCGAGTTGCGGTTTTAGCATAATAACGAGAGTAACTACCGCCTATACGATCCTAACTACAGACTTGACAACACCTTAATAACCAACATCCTTCTCTTTAACTACATCACTTAACATTCAACAAGCAAACTATACCAATTACCGCACTCTACCGCACTTACGCCAATTACCACACTCTACCGCACTTTACCATGATAACAACAACAACATTAACTTCGTACAGAGACATTAGCCAGAGCATAAGACCAATTTTAAACTGCATCTCACACAACACCGCCACGGCAGCAAGTAGTGTGTGTGAGAGAGAGAGAGTATGAGTGTGTGCGTGTGTGAGTGTGTGCGTGTATGAGTGTGTGAGAGTGTGTGCGTGTATGACTGTGTGCGTGTGAGTGTGTGCGTGTGTATGAGTGTGTGTGTGTGTGTGTATGAGTGTGTGTGTGTATGAGTGTGTGTGTGTGTATGAGTGTGTGTGTGGAGTGTGTGTGTGTATGAGTGTGTGTGTGTATGAGTGTGTGTGTGTGTATGTGTGTGTGTATGAGGTGTGTGCGTGTATGAGTGTGTGTGCGTGTATGAGTGTGTGTGTGTATGAGTGTGTGTGAGTGTATGAGTGTGTGTGAGTGTATGGGTGTATGTGTGTGTGTGTGTAGAGCGCTACTCACAAGCTACTGCCAGCCCGCCCCTCCGCCCCCAAACTGTTTACATTAACATAACAATGAAGAAGTGTGAGGGTTGCCAGCTATCCGGTATCTCTCCACAGTTTAGTAAATGTATCGCTTGTATTTTATCACTGAATGGCTGTATTTTCTGACGATAAACATTCTACAGTATACTACATACACTTAAAAATAAAAAAATACAGAAAATACACCAGTTGTATAAGGAATAATATACGAAAATAAATTGAAAAAAAAGCATTATTAAGGGAAATAACTATATTCAAATCTTAAGTTTCAACGTTAATTTTTTGTAAATATGATATCGATTGAATAATATAATCAATAAGTTATATATATATCCGTTCAAAGCTCTTTTAATATGTTTGTCTTATCACTTGGGTGGACGGAGGGTGAGAACTGGGGGGGGGGGAGGGGAGGGGGGGAGGGATAAAATTATTTCTCGTATCCATGACGTTGATTGTATTTTAGAGTAGAGGTGATTGTGACTTCCTATTGAGAGCTTCTTGACTCGTGGGTGTGATAATTATAGGGATGAATGAAGGGATAATATGAAAATGGTAATATTAATGATGGTGAATAATAAGGAAATGATAATATGTAGATGGTAATAACGAAGATGGTGAATAATGAAGGGAAAATAATTTTGTATATAATCTTTGAAGAGCCATTTACTAAACCTATGACAACTTATTAATAATCATGTTAACTTTTAGACTGAGAGTGAAATAAAAACAAATTGTATTTTATATAAGAACAATTTTTTTTTACTTCTTGCGCCATATTAATTTATCAAGAAATATTCAAATGGTTCTAAAAAAAATATTAAAATTATCATCAATGGATTTATATAATTTTTTTAGAAGAAATTAGGCCACGTCACACTGGGAAAAAAGTAAAAAAAAAATTA